GGGACACCTTAGAACACCACGGGGCACCGAGGGACACCTGTCGATCTAACCACCGATCTCACAATCGATCTCACTCAACGGGACACCACGGGACACCACGGGGCACCGCTCGATCTCCCTATCGATCTCACTATCGATCTCGCGCCCCTGCTTCAGCTCGCTCTCCCGGGCCAGAGCAGGTACTGCGGGCACCTGGTAGCGATTGAGAAAATCCTGGATCTCGTCCTCGCCGGTCAGGAAGCGTTCGGTTTCGGATGGCGCGCCCACCATGCTAGCCACTGGATTCACTGTGACGCGCTCGGCGCCGTAGATCTCTGAGAGCCCCGCACGGCATGGGACGCACAGAGACATACTAATCTATATGTCCTCCTTGTAGGCGCGCGTCCGACCCGAACATAGTGCATCCATCTTGTAGTATATCGTTTACCGAGCGGTGTGGCCAGAATGCGCCCGCCACGACGTATGCACTAAACGACTTCTCGATGCCCGCGTCGCCCCTGCGGGGGCGACGCACACATAGTATTAGTATGTTGGAGTAACGCCGACGGCGCGCCACCGCGGACTGCTTGACGCCCATGAGAATGCGGATCGGCGCCGCCCCAGCCACAGCCGCCGCCACAGCGGCGGTCGCGGAACGCGGCTGCGGCGTAGCGCCAGCGCTGGCGTCGGCAGCACCGCTCTGGAGCCCAGCGTTGCGCATGGACACGTCGTTGGCTGGGGCGCCGGCCGCGAAGGCGGCGCCCTTGCTGATGCAGCCCGCGAATGCCGCGGCTGCGGCCATGGCCCCCTCGCCATACTGGCTGTGGGCTTCCTCGGCAGCGGGGTCCGATGCAGACGTGTCGCGTGGGCTTCTGGGCAGCGGCTGGGGCCAAGATGGCTTGAGCCAAAATCGCTACGGCGACCAGGAAGGTAAAGATGATGATGATGATGATGATGATGATGATGATGATGATGATGATCATGATGATGATGATGCTGCTGCTGCTGATGCTGATGCTGATGCTGATGCTGATGATGATGCTGCTGCTGCTGATGATGAAGATGATGAAGATGATGATGATGATGATGATGATGATGATGATGATGATGATGATGATGATGATGATGATGATGATGATGATGATGATGATGATGATGAAAGGGAGGAGGAGGAGGAGGAGGAGGAGGAGGAGGAGGAGGAGGAGGAGGAGGAGGAGACGGAGGGGGGCGAGTGGAGAGAAGGGGGGGGAGGGGAGGGGAGCGGAGGGGAGTGGAGGGGAGGAGGTCGTCCATGTGCCCCGCTCGCTAGAACCCCCGAGACGGCACAGTAAACGCATCTCACCCCCGGTCCTCCCCCTCCTCCTCCTCAACCCTCCTCCTTCGTCCCTTTTGCTCCTCAATAGCTCCTCCCTCTCGCACCCACAGACGTGTCGGTAGTGCGGGCCGGGCGTGTCTCCTGAGACGTCTCACCATGTATGATCCTGACGACTGAAATTTGCAACAACTTCACGGGCGGAGCACACGCCCTTATCAGAATGGGGCTCTCGTTTTCGCACCGCGCACTTTCGTCTTACAACGGTTGCAGCAGCTTCGAGGATGAAGGGGTCGTTTTCAAAATCCGCCGGCCCCCTTGTGGGGCCACCAGGCTGTAGGCCCGTGATTCGCAGTTTCCTGTACCAGTCGTAGGTTGTAGTTTCCAGTGTTACAGTTCTGCTTCTTGCTGGTTACTGTAACTAGTTGACTTATTGCTGGTTACTTTAACTACTTGATTGACCGCGCGAGGGTGGGGGAGGCCTAAAGTGGCTTTTTAGCGTCCCCTGGGCGCGTTGTCTGAATTGCTGGAGGGCTCGAAATCGACACCCCTCACGCAGATCCGCGGGGTCAGGGTCCAAAAACACATGGGATGCCACATTTCTGAAATTCGGTGCCACCCCTTACGCAGATCCGCGGGGTCAGGGTCCAAAAACACAAAGGATTTGCCACATTTCTGAAATTCAATGCCACCCCTCACGCAGATCCGCGGGGTCAGGGTCCAAAAACACAAGGGATTTGCCACATTTCTGAAATTCGGTGCCACCCCTCACGCAGATCCGCGAGGTCAGGGTCAAAAAAACAAGAGGGATTTGCCACATTTCTGAAATTCGTACCACCCCTCACGCAAATCCGCGGGGTCAGGGTCCAAAAACACAAGGGATTTGCCACATTTCTGAAATTCGGTGCCACCCCTCACGCAGATCCGCGGGGTCAGGGTCCAAAAACACAAGGGATTTGCCACATTTCTGAAATTCGGTGCCACCCCTCACGCAGATCCGCGGGGTCAGGGTCCAAAAACACAAGGGATTTGCCACATTTCTGAAATTCGGTGCCACCCCTCACGCAGATCCGCGGGGTCAGGGTCCAAAAACACAAGGGTTTTGCTACATTTCTGAAATTCGGTGCCACCCTTCACGCACATCCATCGCAAGGCGTGGTAACCCAAACTGCGAGAACTCCCTCGGCCCTTTAATCGCAAGGTGTGGTAACCAAGCCCGTAAACCATACACGTCTTACCAATCGCCAGGTGTGGTAACCCCTCTTGTGATCAGTTGGTTTTGCTGATTGCGAATCGGCTTCGCATGAAGTTTCGATACTGCTTCACGACAGCGCCAAGGCCTCATGACTTAGCTCTTCCATGGCCCATTCTCCGAGAGAGGGGGCCGGCGACAGGGGGCGAAGCCCTTACGGATAAGGTTCTCGCCTTTGCACCGCGCATATACGTATTCAAAGTAAGCAGCATCAAGCGTGGAGGGCCGATCGTTTTCAACATGTTACTCTCGACTTGGCGCCGCCCACATTCGTCTTAAAAGTTTGCGACATGCTCAGGGACGTAGGGCAGCTCCTTTTCAAAGTGCGGCTCTCGCCTTGGCGCAACGGACAATCGTCTTCAAATGGTGTGCATCTTCAAATATGGAATCTGTTTTTTTTCCCAACCACCCTGTGGTGTTGGGTCCTCGTTCTAAAGAGAGTGCGCCCCACGTTCACTCCTCCAGCTGCCCCCTCCCCCCTCGTCTCCCATCCGCGCCTCTCCTCCCATCCCTGCCTCCCCATTTCGGCACACCCCTCAAACGCTTCGTGGCTCTATAGGGAGCCCAACCGAAGGCCCCAGTGGCAGGGTCCGCATGTCCCCGCCGCCCCATGTCGGCACACCCCTCACACGCTTCGTGGCCCAATAGGGAGCCCAACCGAAGGCCCCGGTGACAGGGTCCGCATGCCCCCGCCGCCCCATTTCGGCACACCCCTCACACGCTTCGTGGCCCTATAGGGAGCCCAACCGAAGGCCCCAGTGGCAGGGTCCGCGTGTCCCCGCCGCCCCATGTCGGCACACCCCTCACACGCTTCGTGGCCCAATAGGGAGCCCAACCGAAGGCCCCAGTGGCAGGGTCCGCATGTCCCCGCCGCCCCATGTCGGCACACCCCTCACACGCTTCGTGGCCCTATAGGGAGCCCAACCGAAGGCCCCAGTGGCAGGGTCCGCATGCCCCCGCCGCCCATGTCGGCACACCCCTCGCACGGTTCGTGGCCCCATAGGGTGGTTCACCGAAGGCCCCAATGGCACAGCTTACATGCGTCCACGCCAGCCATTTCGGCACACCCCTCAAACAATTCGTGGCCCCATAGGGAGCTCGACCGATGGCGGGGCTCACAATTGCGGTACTCAATTGCATATGCTTGGGTCCTTCGCCTGGATAATTTCCAGAATGCGGTTACCGCCTTAGCGCCGCGAATATTGGTCTTGAAAGCTTGCACAATAATCACTAATGCAGGCCGGCCCCTGTTCAAAGTGGAGCTTTCGCTCGATGCTGTCTTAAATGTCAAGGCCGGAAGCTTATGCACGGGAAAATAAAGGCTCCTTTTCAAAATTGGCAGTTCGCTTGAGACTGCAATGACTGCAAGGACCATAAACTTGTTCAAACGCAACAGCACGAATGGAGGCGGGTCCTCTTCAAAGTTATATGTTGCCTGAGACTTTCTCGGCCCATGAGTAAAGGCCTACGCAACAATTGCACATTGGCGGTCCTCCTTCGAAACGGAGGTCCCGCAGGACAACTCGTTGGGCTTTCTGATCGTACCTTTGCGCGTTCCTTACTACTCGCTGGAAGGACGCACAGGAACTCGCAGCTTTTCAAAATGGGGCTCTCGCCTGTATGGCAGACCCGCAGGGTGCCAGTCTTCCGACCAAGCGCCTCTTGAAGTGGTTATCAGGAGGTCTGGCTAGAGACTTCTGAGAGGGGGTTCGAGACGAGAGGGTGTATTGCAGCAGCGTTGATGTATCTTGGGTTTACTCTGGTCGTCCTCCTCCTCATCCTCCTCCATCCTCGCCGTTTCGCTAACACGGCCCCGTCCGTTCGTTCTCATGATCCGTTATTCCCCCGCTGCCCCCTCGGCCGCTTGCCCCTAAAATCCCCAAACCTCCGACGCCATGGATTTTTCAATGCGCGGCCAGACCTCAGGACCCCTTTCTCTCGGAACGGGTTGCTCGCGCTTGGCCTTCTGAAGACGGCCCCGGGCTCCAATGATACGCCCCCAAATGGACGCCGAGCCTGTGGAGAAGACCCACCGCCTCGACTTCTGTGGCAACTCATGGGCCATGGGGGCCTCCCGTGTCGTCTAGCTGGCTTCTGCGACCGACGCTAAGTCTAGCCGCCAATCGCCGCTGGTCGACGCTCGTCAATCGAAGCTACGCGACGCCCCAATCGGCCCTTCCCCCATCGATGACCAAACACGAACGCACACCAACGCGCTCTAACGACAGAGCTTCGCGGGCACGCACGGCCCCCGCGAGCTGCTACTTGGCATAAGGGAAACGGGTTCTCAGGGAAGCGGGTCCTGGGCCCCGGGACCTTCCCCCCGAACGAGGCTTTCATCCCGAGAGTCGCTTTCTGAAACTCCCGGGGCCCGCACAGAGCTCCGAGAGACTGAGGACGGTGACAAGGACCCAGGACCCGCTTCCCCCATGGCGACTGCAAGGCTCCCATGGGCTGCTAAACTCGACGCTGCTGGGTGCCAGCTGGCGGCGGCCTCTGGCCGCTTCCCCCCTGGCCGATCTCCAGCGCAGCCGCGCGGATGTCCGCGTCGCCGTCGTAGATGCACCGGCAAATGTCTGGCGCGTAGCACTGGCCCTCTGCGGGCCGAGGGGAGGCAGGCTTTGGGCGTTGCTTATGCTTTGACTGCGAGCTCCGGCCCACATACACCCATGGCCCATGGTGGTGGGCGAAGCCACCATGGAATGTCAGCGGGGCCCGGGGGCAGCTCCACCACCCCGCGGGAGGCTGACCAACCCAGAACACCCCGGAGGGCGGGGAAAAGCGCGCACCTTTCGTGCTCCTTTTGGGCCTCAGGGCCCCAGCCATGCAGGGCACAATCGGCGCACTTGTCTTTCCCCCCTCATTTATCGGCGCTCCGCGCGGACTTCTTGGGCTGGTGCTGGGCCGCCCTCCCTGGCGAGCAGAGCGCGTCAGGGGGGCAGCGCCGAAGGCGCCGCCAGGGGGGGGGCCAGCGCCGATCCAAGAAATCCGCGCGGAGCGCCGACAGTCTATGTTCTGACACTATTCTTCGCAATCCGTGTGCGGGCGGTCGCCCGGGCCAGCTCCGCGGCTCTCTCTCTGGGCCAGGCCTCTCGGCGAGCGCGCGAGTGCAGCGGGCCATCGCAGGCCGGCCCTTTTCTGCGCCAGGGGGGAGGGGGTCATGGGGGTGTTCTGGGGGTGTCCCGCGGGGAGGGTCCCGGGTGGGTCCCTGGGAGTCCTGGGGGGGTCGCCTCCCAAATACGTCTCCCCCGCGCCCCAACCCCCGCACCGGCCCCTGCCCCGAGCCCGGACACGGCCCAGCCCAGGGGGCCGCAGCCCAGCTCCCCGCCCCGGCGCCCCAACCCCCGCCCGGACCCCCGGCCCCTGGCCCCAGCTCCGGCCGTGGCCCCAGCCTCGTCTTCGGCCCCAGCCCAGCCCTGGCCCCAGCCGCGGCCCCAGACCAAGCCCCAACAGAGCCCAAGAGGCTCCAAAGAGAGCCCCAAGAATGGCTCCAGAGCGTCAGCGTCGTCGTCGTGGTCGCCGCTGCCGCCGCCGCCGTCGTCGCTGCCGTCCCCCAAGGTCGGCGGCACCGGTCGCTCGGCCTTCCCACTATTGATTTTCAAATATCCCCTATAACAGTCGTCACATGGGGGGGGGGTAAGAGTAACGCTTGGGGGGGGGGCGAACGTCGTGGCGGGGGTGCGCTGCGATCGCCATCGCCAGCATCTGAAGGGGTTCCCCTCCCTACGCCCTACGTGCGATCTTTCTGGTTACCTGGGGGAGGGCGGCCTGGCCTGGGTAACGATAGTTACACGCCAGAGGAAAAACTACCCCGGCAAAGTATCCTTCGGGGATCTACTGACCAGGGTCAGTTCAAACCCTGGTCAGTCGGGCTTTGCAGGATCTTGCAACATCCTGCAGGATCCTGCAGGATCCTGCGCGCTAGCCCAGGTCAACGCAGCCCTGGCTTTGCAGAGTCCTGCAAGATCTGGCACTCTGGCTCACCCCCGTTTGCATTGACCCCCTCCTCAGGCTCCCGAATCCTGATAGCATCAAAGATGAAGAGGTGGGTCGAGGAGCAGGAGTGCCAGCACCAGGCGGGCACGAGCTCCCCGCCACGCCCCTTGTGAGACTCCTCTGTGGCCCTGTTGTAGCACAAGTGGAACCCCATACAGCGAAACGGTTACGAAGAGTGGAGAAGGTCAACTCCGCAAGTCGACCACCAGACTCCTCCCAGGGTCCCTCTGGTGCAAATTTTCACTTCGGATCCGTTTTTGATGGTCCCGGGGCCCGAAAACGGCAAACAACTTTCTCGAATCCGGAATCTCGGACCTGCCCTCTTTTCTGCTGGCCTGAAACAAGGCTGGCCCCCCTCAGACTCCAAGCCGGCTCCAAATTAGAACCCTCTAGCCGAAACGCACGCGAAAAAAACAAGTTCACCATGGTTGCCCGCTTTGATTCACCATATGTGTTTCTTCCAACCATTTCCCACCAGCTCTCATGGGCCAGCAGCGCTTCTGAATGGGATGGTGGAAATATGCGGGAAGCGTAAAAGGATTGGAACCTGGCCCAGCCTGCTGCTCGTAAGAGTGACCCTGGGCACGAAAACTCAACAGAAGTGCCGCCCTGTCCGCCTGGTCTCGGGGCGGGGCGTGGTCCACAACCGCCGCCTGGGGGTTCGAGGGCGGCCACGGCCCTATCGTCGCATCCGAGACGAGGCTGCCTGCTGGGCCGCACGCGTGGAGAGCAGCACCGGCGCGTGCGTGGACGTCGATCCATCAACAAGCAGCAACGACGGGGGAGGCCCCGAGGGGCACACGGGCGAGCAGGGGGCCACGTCAAGCAGGGAGAAACATTGTCTTATGTATATGCAATATTGTGTCTTGTCTTTGGCGTCGCGCCCAAGAAGGTGGAGGGAGGGGGGAAGACTACATAGAAGGAGGCTGCTTCTTAGAAGGCGGCGGCCTTACATCTGTAGGTACGGATCGCGCCTTCTAAGAAGCAAGGGTGCCTCCAGGACGCCCTCCCCCTCCCTGCACCCGCCTTCTGGGGATACCAAAATGTACTGATACAACGACTCCCTGGACCTCTCCACGGGCGCGTTCTGACCAGAACCTCGAGGCGAATCCAGCGGTGGCGACGAGGACCTCCCAGGAGACCCAAGAAGGGCAAAACGAGGGATGGGTAGCGGTATTGGTACGAGAGCAGAAGAACATCCTTCAAGAACGCGAGACCCTCTGCTGGCCAAACTGAAGAGCATTCGAGGGTGCCCTCCCCGGGATGCAAATGAACATTCAATACGTACGGAGAACATTATGGTACCCTCCCCGAACCGACCTCGATCTGACCCTGTGACCCTCTGCATGTGGCCGAGTGTTTGCCTTCGCCTCCGCGGGCCTTGAGCCCCACGCCGCCGAAGGCCCGGATGGCCGCCGCCCGCACGGCGCGGGACCTGCGCACCCCCGCCGCGGGCGGTCGCTGTCTCTGGCAGCCGGGCGACCGCGAGAAGAATCCGCGAAAGGGGCCGAGGGACAGGGGGGGACAGGGAGGGGCCCCCCCTGTGGGAGGGGGCTGGCCCCTCTCCCGGCCCCGGCCCCTCTCCCCGCCCTGGCCGCAGCCCCAGCCCCGGCCCTGGGCTCCCGGGAGGGGCCCCCCTGGGTCCTGGGGGAGGTCCTGCCCTCAGGGTCGGCGGCACCAGCCGCAAGGCCTTCAGAATAGATAGACACAAACTCCCAGATTCATGATATCTTCAAAACTTGCACTTTCCATAGCTTGCACACTTCCACAGCATCTGAGGAGAGTCCACGGCGTCTTGCCAACTGCCACCCCATGACGCAGGAAGACACTGACGCGTTGGACTCAATAAACTCTCGCGGCAGGCAGCTCGCGCAGAAGTCCGGGCTGAAAACCCAAGAAGCAAAGCTCCAGCTGTCAGACCTGATGGCCCCCGAGAATGGGACAAATGTTCTTGTAGCGACGAAAAGAAATTGGGTTCTCACTTTGAAGGGACAACGCCCCGCGGTCTCCCTCCGCCTCCGTCCTCCCGCCTCCTCCTTCCTCCCATCCCTGCCTCCTCCCACCCTTGTCTCTGCACTCCACATGTCCATTTCGGCACACCCCTCACACGTTTCGCGGCCCCATAGGGAGCTCCACCGAGGCCCCAACGGCAGGGTCCGCATGGCGGCCACGCACCCGCTCCGGCACAGCCCTTACACTTTTCGTGGCCCCATAGGGAGCTCCACCGAAAGCCCCAGTGGCAGGGTCTGCATGGCGACACCACACCCGATCCGGCACACCCCTCACACGCTTCGTGGCCCCATAAGGAGCTCGACCGAAGCCCACAACGGAAGGGTCCGCATGGCGGCACCACACCCGATTCGGCACACCGCTCAAACGTTTCGTGGCCCCATAGGGAGCTCCACCGAAGGCCACAATGGCAGCCCGATTCGGCACACCCCTCACATGGCCCCATAAGGAGCTCCACCAAAGACGGTAGTCACAGCTGCGGTACTTACCAACAAGTGAATATGGTTGGGTCCTTCGCCACGATAGTTGTGCGTCGCTCACTTGGTTTGCGTCGCTTGCAGCACACCGCCGGCAAAAAAGGCATTTGGTGGCGAGCCCAGGGGGGAACGCAAGAGGGCGCAAGCCTTCTCCAGGCGGGAGATTTCCCCTCACCGACATGGTCAGCCGGAGTTCCACCGCGTCGGAGCTCTGCGGCAGCCCGCGAGGAGTCGGCGTGGAGGCTGCCCAGGCAGCTGGTGGCGAGCCCAGAGGGCGAGCGCGAGAGGGCGCAGGCCTGCTCCGGAGGCTGCGGGGCTCCTCTCAGGAGCCCCGCCGCCGGCTGGGGAGGCGGCCCCCTCTGTGTCCCCTGGGATCGCCGCCGAGCCGTGCTGGCGTCATCACGATGGGAGGCGTTCGGCAAATTTCGGCCTCTGGGGCCCCAGAGCAATCAACAAACGGCTCGGGGTGAAGAACTGGCCCAGGATAACGGGTCGGGACTTCGGGGAACCGCGTATTCAGGAAAAAACGGCCCCGAGCAACGGTCGACCAAAATCAGGGCCTCGATGCTCCCCGTCGGACCGCTGGGCGTGCCCGCGAGAAGGGTGCACGGCGTCGGAGGGCGGAGCGGACGCCACCACTGGTATAACGCTTCGGGCGGCGCAGTGGCGCACAGGCGGCACCCCTAAGTGGTCCTGGCTGGCCTCAACAGTTGGCCAGGCGCACCAGGGAGGCATTGGGAGGCGGTAAGCTTCCAAGAAGCGGCGTGCGTCCAAGAAGCCTTCCCCCCTCCCCCTGCCCCCCCTCTGCGCGTGGCCGAACAGGCCCTCCGAGTATTCCTGGCTGGTCTCAACAGGCCCCCGAGAAGCCCCGAGAGGTCTCAACACACTAGCGCAGCCTCCAGCGGCGCCCCTGGGGCACTCCGCGCCCAAGGGTTGAGGTGTTGAGACCGCCCTGGTCTACTCGGAGGGTCTGCTGAGGCCAGCTGGGACTACTCGAGGGGACTGTTGAGGCCGGCCAGGACCACCTGGGAGTGCTGTCTCTGCGCAGCCCTAAACCTTCCCTCGGCGGCGAGCGAGGGGAGAAAGTGAGAAGGAGAAGGCCTTCTCGGAAGGCGGCGGGAACTTCTCAGAAGCCCTCGTGCCTTCTGAGGAGTTTCTGTGTCTTCGGGGAAGGCTTAGACAACTTCTCAGAAGGCCAGGGGCCTTCCGAGCCCGTTTTGGAGGTCGGAAAGGGGTGTGGTATAAAAGGGTGCGGTGCCAATGCTAAAGATAATGATGTTGTCTAAGATAGCCGCAACGGCGATGCACCCCGGTTTCAACAACGCTGGTTTCGCGTCGACCGCTTCAAACAAAAGTCGATACAATAATTTTGAATTCCCCGAGCGACCGCCGTCTAACCTGAACGGCGACAAAAACAACCCAATATATAACGCCGTATCGCGGGGCACGCGATTCCGGAGATTCTGGAATTCTTTGATTCATTCTTGTGATTCTGGCATTTCCGGAACGCCGTTTCGGAATTTCCAGAATTTGGATTGTACTGAAAGAAGACAATTTCAGAATGTTGGAACTTCTGGAACTACGTTTTGGGCGATACAGAAATTCCCGAATGGCGCTTTTCGCGATTCGCGACTCGGAATTTCCGAAATTTCGTGCTTGGTGATCGGGCGTCCGGGAACAAGTGTAGCGTTGCTGTTCACATAAGCCTGCGGTCGTTCGGCGAAGTTGGAATCAAGAGCTCTGAGGTTGCTTGAAGCGGTCCGCGTCAAGCCAACGTCGTTGCAATGGGGATGCAACGCACTTTTGGCTATCGTAGATGACATCGCCATTCTCAGCATTAGCACCGCACCCCTTTATACCACACCCCTTTGCGACCTCCAATTCAGAGAAGGCCTTCTCCTTCTCACTTCCCCCCCCGGGCTCGCAGCCGATTACCAACCATCACCACCAGAGGGGCCACATTCTGGCGCGGAGGTCCACGATGCCTCCCCGCCGACCTGGGGACGGAGGGGACGTTTCGAGCGGGAAAGCGGGAGACAACGCCACCAGGAGGACCCCCCTGGCTCCTCGCGCTGGTGGTGGTGTCGCGTCTCCCTGTTCCTAACGGCGGGCGCTCGATTCCACGCGGAGGGCGCCTGTACACCACCACTGCGTCAGACCAGACCCATCCCAGGCCCTGGCATGGCGCACACGGCCCCCCGGCCCGAGCCTGCACGCCACCACCACCACGTCAGGCCAGGCCCATCCCAAGCCCTGGCATGGCACACACGCCCCCTAGGCCGAGGCCACCCCAGGGCCCAGGATAGCCCTGGTCGGGCACGGTGGTGGCGAGCTGGTGCCTTCTGCGGATCTTCTGCCCCGCCTCGCAGCCCTCGGAGCTCACGGACCAATCCAGGCTCGAGCCAGTCCGACGATGGCGGCGAGGATCGGGGCCGACGAAAGGGAGGGATAGCAACAGAGGAAAACAACACTGAATACACATCATTTCTAGGTCCGCGCGGATTTCTCGGAACGGCGCTTGCCTCCCCCCCTGGCGCGCGGAGCGTGCCAGGGGCGGCGACCAAAACGCTGCCAAGGGAGCCCATCGCAGATCCAAGAAGTCCGTGCGGACCTCCAACAAGTTATGTTTATGCCAGTGTTTGTCCTTCGAAGCAATCGGGGGAAATGAGCGAATCGGCAGCATGCGGCTGGCTTTTTCTGGCGCCAGCGGCGCCGTAGGCGACCACGTATCGAAGCAAGTGCCCGAGGGTGGGGCTGAAGCTGGCTGCACGAAGCAGTTTTCGCACCCCCCCTCTTGCCCTATATCAAGGGCATCCAAAAGGGGGCGTCCAAGAGGGAGGCTCGCAGATCATGGCCCGACGAATGTGCGCGGACGAGGGGGGGGACAGGGAACGAAATCCGTAGAGGTACCATGGCTCCGACCATGATGCTGTATCCGCCCGCCCCCTATTAATCACCCCCTCTCGGACCACGACTACACGATTCCACCCCTTCCGTCCGACCCGAGTAGAAGAAGGACGGGGACGGGAGCTCTGTATTTTGCGGGGTTGGGCCGTTGTCCAGACCGTCGGGTCTGGGGGCCTGTAATCACCAGCACAGATCGATCCGGCTCGAGCAATGAAGAAGGATGGGGTCGTGAGCTCCGGCGGTGGTTTTTGGCGGTGGCGCGAAGTTCACGACATCAGATGTCGGGATTAGGCCCAGGAGCATTCAGGAGTCGTCCTGGCACGAGCAACGAAGAACCGAAAAGAAACAATAATGGTCGGGAGCTCTGGTCGTGATTTTCGCTGTGTCTGAACATCGTTGAACCGATCCCTATTCCCACTTGAGTGGCCTGGGCCCCGCTGGCCAGCTTCCACCCCCAGATGGGGATATGAGCTGTTTCCTCCGGGTTTCGGTGGGCCTCTCCCCAACTGGGGTGGTGGGATGGTGGGGCTGAGATTCCCTAGCCTGGTGGGGATGGGGATGGGTTGAACGGTGCCGAGTGCCGCAATCGCTGCACGGCGCCGAGTCTCGGCGGAGGGCCAGCAGGGCCCAGGAATTCCCGAGCACACCCTCCCCAGGCAACAACGACGGCAAAAGCGGGTCAACATCGGCTGGCGTTCGGCATCTGGGCAGCCCCGTAGCCCAGGGAAGGTGCCGAGTCAGCCCTGCCACCCCTGCCCCCCTCCCCATGGGCCCTCGGGGCGTCCCAGCCGACCACGGACCTGTCCGCAAACATGCCCTTGAACGTGTCTGTGAAAACCGCGCCCTCGTCGCCCATGAGCCTGGCACGAGGACGGGTCATTGTCACGCTGGCTGGGGCGGCACTACCAGCACGTCACTCTGGAAGAAATTCGGAGGCTTTGCACGCAGAGCGGCTAAGTAATACGCACAGGCTGGAAGACGCCACGCGTGTCACTGATACTCTCTCATCCCTCCCTAGGCCAGAATCCATCACCACTCGAGCGGCAGAGAGAAGAGGGGTCACGTGGGCTGGAGATGGCAAGTGTCACTGGGCCTCCCGAGGGGGGGGTCCCCCGAGGAGCCCGAACGGCCTGGACAGGGTGATCGCTGAAGCCACTGGGCCTATCTGCGAAGAAGGTCCTGGGACATCTTGGACGGAGCCCAGTGGCGGATAGAAAAACGCCACACATGTTCTTCTGGATACCCTGCCTGTCCGAATGCCCCTGGCCAACACTTCCGAAGCTGCCCCAGAAATTCAAGCGATCTTGAGGGGGAAACGTTGAACTGGAATTGGCAATACATCGCCGGTAGATCGCCGCTGGGCCCACGATGGCGAATCCGCATGATCGTGGGCGGGACGGGGACATCGGGTCCCATATCCGCGACCAATGGGCGTTCGGGGGTCGATGCGTCCCCTCCTGAGCCCCTTCCCCCCCCCAGCACTGGGGAAACCAGAAAGTAGCCCCGCCCTTAGCTGCACCGAAAATCGTCCACAGCTGGGTGGCCGGAGGCCCCTCGGAGGCAAAATCCTACAAGCCTGAATAGGATGGCGCACAGGCGTGGCCGCCTGCAAGCAGCGGTCCGCCGCGGGCCCCAGGACGGCCCAGAAAGGTTCCCAAACTGCTCGACAGGTGCCCAATGAGATTTCGACTCGGCCCTTGGGGGCCCTCGGGCGGCCCTCAAGGTCCCCAAGGAAGCCTCCAAACGACCCAAGGAGGCCCCCGCGATGGACTCCGAAAGCGACAGACTGCCCAAAAGCGCCCTCAGACGGACACAAGGCCGCCCAGGACCCCCCCGTCGAAGATGCCCTAAGAAACCCCGAAGAAGACTCAGAGGGGAACCCAGGGCTTTCAAATCATGCCGAACGCCATGTCGAGCTGCGCAAAGACGGCGCCACCAGGGCCCCACCCCTGTTGCCGCACCCCCCCGGAGCGGTACCACCCCGGAGACTTGTACGAAATATTGTCGGGTTTTCTCCCGGGTGGTAGTCCGCGCCGTCGGCAACGCCATTGGGGCCTGTCTCTAGGGGCTGCGCCAAATAGAAGGCCCTGGAAGAGCCCAGCGATGCCCGAGAGACCTCCCACAGGGCCCGCGAGGCCCTGAGACAAGCCCTGGACAGGGGGCCCAAGACGCCCCACCCACCCACCCCCCGCGGAAGAGCATTTGAAACGGCTGCGTCAAAAGCTCTACCGCGGAGGCACCAAGAGGGCGACCGGAGGGCCCCGAGAGGGCTGCACGAGGGCCCGAGAGGGCCCAGAGGAGCCCAAGACATGTCCTGGGGACCCCAGGATACCCCAAGAGCCCCCCACGATAGAGCATCTGAAACGTAAATCTCAAATGCTCTGCAGCGGCGGGCCCGAGAGCGCGCCAGGAGGGCCCCAAGATGACCCCACGAGGGCCCGCGAGGTCTCCCACGAGGGCCCTAAGATGGCCCGAAAAGGCGCCCAAAAAGCCCCGAGAGGCCCCCAAGATGCCACCAGGAAGCCCCGAGGGAGCTCCCAAGCGGCTCCCAGGAGTCCCCAAGGGGCCCCCCAGAGGCACCAAAGACGCCCCAAGAAGCACATGTGACCGCAAAGGGGCAATCAAAAAAACCCAATGGGCCTCCGAGGAGCACCCAAGAAGATACCTGACGACACTCCAAGAGACATCGAAGAGGCCTCTGGGCCCCTCCGCTCGCCCTCGTCGTCCTCCCCCTCTGCCTCCTCATCCGCCTATTCGTCCTCCATATCCTTCCACCCTCACATGTCCTCATCCTCCTTCGAACGATAACGGCTGCCCTCCACCCCGACTCGATTGGGTATCGTTTCTGGATGGGCTGGTGGGGATATGCGAGACGTCACGGATCCGTTTACAATGAGTTCCACGGGCCAAACAGAGGCCATTATGCGTGTGCGCGGTGGTTTTTCAAGATGAACACAACAAATTGGCCCTGACCCCAGATCCAAAGAACCGGCTCTACTTCAAAGCAGAACTCACGCGGCCATTTCTGGTCTGTTCAAGAACGGAGAGCGCCTTCAAGAACGTACCTCGGGTGCGGCGGTTGAAAGGGGATTTGCGCGTGACGCCCCCGACGCGACGGATTACCCCCCCCAGAGGCGGACCAATCAGCCCCCGAGTAGTAGTAGTAGTAGTAGTAGTAGTAGTAGTAGTAGTAGTAGTAGTAGTAGTAGTAGTCGTAGTAGTAGTAGTAGTAGTAGTAGTAGTAGTAGTAGTAGTAGTAGTAGTAGTAGTAGTAGTAGTAGTAGTAGTAGTAGTAGTAGTAGTAGTAGTAGTAGTAGTAGTAGTAGTAGTAGTAGTAGTAGTAGTAGTAGTAGTAGTAGTAGTAGTAGTAGTAGTATAGTCAGTAGTCGTAGTAGTAGTAGTAGTAGTTGTAGTAGTAGTAGTAGTAGTAGTAGTAGTAGTAGTAGTAGTAGTAGTAGTGGTAGCAGTTGTAGTAGTAGTAGTAGTAGTAGTCGTAGTAGTAGTAGTGGTGGTAGTGTAGTAGTAGTAGTAGTAGTAGTAGTAGCCGTAGTAATATGAAGTAGTAGTACTTAGTAGTAGTAGTAGTAGTTAGTAGTAGTAGTAGTAGTAGTAGTAGTAGTAGTAGTAGTAGAAGTAGTAGTAGTAGTAGTAGTAGTAGTTGTAGTAGTAGTAGTAGTAGTAGTAGTAGTAGTAGTAGTAGTAGTACGAGTAGTAGAAGTAGTAGTAATCGTAACAGTAGTAGTCGTAGTAGTACTCGTAAATGATAGTAGTAGTAGTAGTAGTAGAAGTAGTAGTAGTAGTAGTAGTAGTAGTAGTAGTGGTAGCAGTTGTAGTAGTAGTAGTAGTAGTAGTCGTAGTAGTAGTAGTAGTGGTGGTAGTAGTAGTAGTAGTAGTAGTAGTAGTAGTAGTAATATAGTAGTAGGAGTAGTAGTAGTAGTAGTAGTAGTAGTAGTAGTAGTAGTAGTAGTAGTAGTAGTAGTAGTAGTAGTAGTAGTAGTAGTAGTAGTAGTAGTAGTAGTAGTAGTAGTAGTAGTAGTAGTAGTAGTAGTAGTAGTAGTAGTAGTACGAGTAGTAGAAGTAGTAGTAATCGTAACAGTAGTAGTCGTAGTAGTACTCGTAAATGATAGTAGTAGTAGTAGTAGTAGTAGTAGTCATCACCGTAGTACTAGGGGTAGCGGTAGTAGCCGTAACAATGGTAACAATAACAGTAGTCGCAGTCGTAATCGAAGTCGTAGTAGTAGTAGTAGTAGTAGTAGTAGTAGTAGTAGTTTTAGTAGTAGTAGTAGTAGTAGTACCTGTAGTGGTACTGGTAGTAACATTAGTCGTAGTAGTAGTAGTAGTAGTAGTAGTAGTAATAGTAGAAGAAGAAGTAGTAGTAGTAGTAGTAGTAGTAGTAGTAGTAGTAGTAGTCGTAGTGGTGAAGTTGGTGGTAGTAGTAGCAGTCGCAGACGAAGTAGAAGTAGTAATGATAGAAAAAGTTGTAGCAATAGTAATGATCGTACTCGTTGGTGCTAGGAGGAGGAGTAGGTTGTAGGACCAGTCCGATTCACCGCGAAGTGAAAGGTGGGGGGCTTCAAAACTAAAGACGTGCTGAGGTTAACTCAGGGGACCCCTTTGAATGGTTCTTGCAGATGGATGATTCCTTGACTGTGTCGTACGGCAAGGGCGATGATTATCTGGTAAGTAAAAGCAAGTGAATGTATGATGCGCGCGCCCTACGAGAGGTACGCGTGGATCCTTTTTGTTCCTGGACGCGAGCTGCGCCTCAGCCCTTACCAGTAGTAGCTTGAGCCAAACGCGCGCAAAAGCACGCGTATGGAAGCTTAAAAAAGAAGCGGAGGGAACGATGGCAACGACTCTTTCCAAACAGGCTAGTGGTGATGCTTTTGATCGCGAGCGCATCGGAAATGCCGAACGCAGTCCGAAAGACGTAACAAACAAGTTACGGCCTAAATTGCGCAAGCGGAAAGGAAAAAGAGAGACAAGCTAGTGGGGAGACGCGAAGCGTGAAGGATTACGAGGATGCACGAAGCTCCCATGAGTTGCTACCGAAGCCCACCCGGACCATGGGCGCCTTGCCGACGCTGGGCCAGTGCAGAACAACAAAACAAGAAAGCACAGCAAATGATGCGGGTGTCTGGGCACGCCGGCCTGAGCGCCCCCAGCGCCGCCGCCCGGACGGCGGGGCTCGTGTCCGTCAGCAGCGCGGACACCCTGGCGGCCACGTCGGCCTCCGGCGCAGACGCCGTCAGCTTTCCGCAGGCCGTGGCGGCCGCGGCCTTCACGGGCGCGCTGGGCTCGTCGAGCAGCGCCGCCACCTCCAGGGGGGGGGGGCATCCCCGCGGCCACCTGCCAGATATGGCGCCAGTCAGGCACTGACGCCAGCGCTGGCCAGGCCCGCCCTAGGCCCTGGATCGGCGCGGAAACACCCTGCCTGCTCTGCTGGCCAGGACTGCGTGTTCGCAGATCCTGCGCCCAGGGTCGGCCCAAGCGGGAGCTCCCCATCCCCGAACTAGCTCCCTTTCTCCACGGGGGGAATGAAGTGCATGAGAGAGCTAGGATCTTGACATAAAAAACTAATGCTTGAAACTGTGAAAACTTAGATCCCGGAACATGTAACAAGTGCTCGGGAAACCTTCAGAACTTCTACAAGATCGCGCACCACCTGCCTTCTGGGCGTAGGTGGCCTAACGAGTTCTCTCCTTCCTCTCCCAAAATCCTCTTCCCTTCGGGGAGGGGGCACCCTCCCCCTCCACTCCCTGAGGTTTTCTTGGAGGAGGCCCGAGGGGCTAGAGCGACCAAAATGACTAAATATTGCTTCAAGAGGGCCCCCGATGCTACACGATGGCCTCCAAGATGTCAGGATTACCGAAGATCGTTCAAGATGGCTTTCGACATACCTCCAGGAGGTTTGACGAGGGCAACATAACGGTTCCAAGTGCTTTCGGAGCCCCCCAGAACTCCACCAAGAGGCCCAAGTCCTTCGAAACCTGTAGACATCAATGATTAGCGCCTCATCGCACTTTCGCTTCTGTTGCGCTTTTGTGGCCTCAAGATGGCCCCAAGATGGCTCAAAGGAGCCACACGAGGTCCCCTAAACAGCCCAAAGAGCAACCCCAGAGGGCCCCAAGAGATTATTTTGATGGCCCCAGAGGGGATGGAAATCGAGGACCCCCCCTCTGTTGATCGACGCCCTACCTTAGAATATTGCCCCAAGAGGCTTTACAAAGCCCTGAGAAAAGGCCCCAAGAAAACCCCAAGAGGGCCCAAAGGCTGCCCCAAGCCGGCCGCAAGAGCGCCCCAAAAGCGTCCCATGAGGGCCCCAAGAGACCTCTTCCTCCTCTTCCTCCTCCTCCTCCTCCCCTCACCCTCCCACTGGTCCCAGAGATGGCACGAAGAGGCCTTCCAATGCCAATTCCTTGCTTCCAGAGATCTCTCTGTTCACTCTCGTTGCCCGCGTTGTTTCACGATGTGTCTCGTCGTCCCTTTTCCCGTCAGCTCGCATAAGCAGGGTTTCCGAACGGGCTGGTGGGGGTACGCGAAGCGTGAAGCATTTGAGACTTGCAAGATTGAGCGCTTGACAGCTTTAGTCGGTTACGTGCCGACAGTTGGACAGCTTCAAAGTTGGAACACCACATCCACGGGACCTGCGAAACCATTGGGAGAAATAGGCAAGAGCCGCAGAAAAGTGCGTGGGAGCTGGGGGGGGAGAGAAATCATGGCAAAGCTGACCCGACCCAGAGGACCTCCACGAAACCTGTTCCCAACAACCAGCCGCACCCAACGCGCTCCAGAAGACTGCTTGAAGGAGCCCTGTCATGCCAAGATGGCCTGCGAGACGAAGGGTGGGGGAAGACACCTGCCATGACCATGCGTCCTGCGAGGGCATGGTAAAACAGACACGTAAGATGCCAATATCGTGCCACCCACAGAAATACACACACGACCTGCGAAGTAACATGGGGGAAACAAAGGACTCGTGTCCGCCACCGTGCTGCACGTAGTGGAGCGTTCCAATGCTTCAAAGATCTTACGGGCCCCGCCCCCCAACTTCCTGGGCGCTCCTGGTAATTGCCCGGGTATGTTGCGTGAGCTCTCTGGACGCTGAGCCGGCTGAAAACTAACACCAAACCCCCAAAAGTGTCTCAAGAAACGCCCCAGATGATCTGAGAGGACCCTTGGACAGCCCAAGGCGTCTGAAAGATGGCCCGCGCCTCGAGGCGTCAAGATTCTGGCTCAAGACGCAAGCTCAACCCGCCGGGTACTCGGAAGCACCGGAGACACCAGGAACAATCTAAACGCAACTCCCTCCGCCTCCAAGACGCCCAATATGGTCCCCAAGATGGCCCAACATTGCTCACATAACGGCCCACGACGCCTCCAAGACGGATAAGATGGCCCCAAGAGAGACCAAGATGGCCATGACATACTCCACAGACAACCCAATATGGACCCAAGATGGACCCAAAACGGCCCAAAATGGATCCAAGACGGCCCAAGAAGGGCTTCGAATCCAAGACGCCCTCGATACTGCCCAAGAGGGCTCCAAGAGACCCTCCAGGAGGCAAAAATTATTGTTTCCCCAAGGCTTATATACCAATAGTTTTCACGTTCTCATCGCTTCGGGCTGACATCCGAAGACGGCCCCAGAGGCCCCCAAGATAGCCCCAAGAAAGCCGCAGAAGCCCTCAAGAGGGCCCCAAGACGGCCCAAGAGGCCCCCAAGACGGCCCTAAGAGGGCCCTGAGACGGCCCGCGTGCGACAACGAGAGGTGGAAGGCGAAGCCAGAGCCCGATATCCTCAGCTACAGCGTCGGGATAAAGGCCAGGCGGCTCCGACACTACTCTGTGCGCAGGGGAGGCAGGGCTGAAACCCAACTTCGCAGATCGCGCGAGAAAGCAGACAGTGGCAGCGGACTCTTCTGTTGCCAACGGGGTTGCGCGAGACAACTCTCAGCTTCAGTGCGGGGGGCAGCGAGATCTGTCGCTGCACAGGGTGTCGTGCGAGGCACATCTCAGCTACAGTGCAGGCAGTGGCCGCAGACTCTGCTGGGGTAAACGGAGTCGTGCGAAACATATGTATCAGCTACAATGCAGAGACTAGGTCGTGCGAGAAGGTGCTCGCGGGAAGGGCTCCCAGCTACAGTGCAAACATCGGGTCGTGCGAGAAGGCAGGCAATGGCAGCAAGCTCTGTTACTGCACGGGGTCATGCGAGACACATCTCAGCAGCAATACAGGGATCAAGTTTGTGCGAGAAGACAAGCAATGGCAGCAGGCTGCCGTGATGCATGGATGGTCGTGTGAGTCCTCAGCTACAGCGCGAGGCTCAGTGCAAGAAGACGGCTGTGGCAAAAATCAGATCGTGCAAGAGAACGGCAGTGGCAGCAGGCCATCGCGCTGCATGGGTATCGTGCAATGCACCTCTCAACTGCAGTGCTGGGATCAGAACGTGCGAAAGGCATGCCGCGGAACCAAAAGCAGAACACCATCAGCTACACAGCTTGGATTCGCCCGTGAGAAAACTCATACGGTCACCAGCTACAATGATGGGATTATGTTGTGTGCGAGAGGTGCAGCCTTTCATCGCCGGGTTGTGCAGAGCTGGGACGCAACATTTTCAGCACATTCGGCAGCAAGGGGGGCAGTGGCAGCATTCTGCCGCTGCTGAAGTTTCTAGAGATCGGGCGAGACACGTCTCAGCTACTGTGCAGGGAACAGCCCGTGGGAGAAGATAGTAACAGCATGCGGAACTGTGCTCAGTTGCAACCCTGCTACATCGTTCTCGAGGGCAGCCTGTAGCGTATGGTAGGGCCTCGGTCGGCAGGTCGCCTGTGCTTTGTGTCCCGCCCATCCCACTCTAATCTGCTCTGATCCTCCTCCTCCTCCTAGCCATGTTGGTTCCGGCTCGCATCGCTGGGCGGTCGAGGCAGCTCGCGGCCCCGTGGTGGCGACGCATGCTGCCGCGGGCCCCTGCGCTGCGCGAGGGCCTGCGCCTGGTGCGGGCGGCCGAGGGGCTCCTGAGGGCTGCGGCGGCTGCCCTCGGCACGCCCGTGCCCGTGGGAGATGGCTGTGATGGTGATGGTGGACAGAACTGCCTGGCGCCCCCGCGGCTTCCGCGCCGCCCGGCGGCCCTCGGCCACGGCGGCGGCGGCGCGCCAGGAAGCGCAGTGCGGCCGGCATGCCGGTCGAGCCCGCGGCTCCTCCCAGCGCCGTGGAGGCGGCGGCGGCGGATGGGGCGGGGGCGGCGGTCAGGGGCGGGGGCTTGCACGCAGAGGGCGGTGTGGCCCCGACCTCGCCCCTGGAGGACGACAGCTGGCAGATGCGCTCCCCGCGCGGCCTTCGGCGGTCGGGACGGCGGCGGAGCCAGCCGCAGCGCCTGCGGCTTCGGCGGCAGCGGGCGGAGCTGGGCGGCCCGAGGGGCCCGCTGGCGAGGCCGCGGGCGGCGGCGGCGGCGGCACCAGTGCGGACATCATCGGCAAGATGGGGGTCTTCTGGGCGGCCGTCGATGGCCTCGTGGCGGGGTCCCGCGCGCACGAGGACGCGCTGGCGCGGGTGGCGATGCAGCTCAGGGTCCCCGTGGCGGGCCTGCGCCGCGTCGTCGAGAGCGCCGAGCGGGTCGCGCGCCGGGAGCGTCGTGTGGTGACGGCCAGGCGGGCGCGGCCTCTGGCGTGGCTCGGGAAACTGGCGGTCGTCGGCCCAGCTGGCGACGGGCGTCTCTCGGATTCCTGGGGTTTCTTGCCGCCTGGCCCGCGGGCCTGTGCGGGTGGTGGGCTTGACCTCGAGCTTCCTGCTGGCCTCAGGCAACAGGTGGCTACATAGGGGGCAGGTCTGGCCGTCGTGGTGTCCCTCGTCGCCACGGCGCTCCTGTTCTGATGCGGCTCGCCACCTTGTCTTCCTCAGGGTCGCACCCATTCCATTCCATTCCACAGCGCCTCCCAAAACCCACCAGCCCTCTGGGCGTCGGTGGTCTAGAATGTTTTGTCCCCTAACTTCCGAACAACCCCTCTCCCTACCCTTTCCCCTCTACCTGGCCGCGCACCCTGCAATACCCTGCAAAGGGGGATGCAAATAATCCGCGCGGGCCCTGCAATACCTTGCAATAACCTGCAGGGGCCCCTGACATACCCTGCAATACCCTGTAGCACGGCCCTGCCAGACCCCGACAAACGACCTTGCAACACCCTGCAATGCCCTACACTACCCAGGATCTCGCCGACCCCCCTGCAATACCCTGCAACGACTCCCCCCCTTGCAAAGCCAATTCCACGACAAAGCCGATTCCACGACTCTGCAATACCATGGAAACGAGACCCCTTCC